GCACTTATAACGCAAAACAAATTTTAAATTTAAATAAAATAGATTTAACACAATTTAATAATCTGTAATTTTATTAAAATTTAAATTTAGTTTTAATAAATTTATTTAAATATTTAGTTTTTTATTTTTATTTTTCCCCTTTTTTTATATTTTTTTCCTGGTTTGCTTTTATTTTATTCATTTAATTTATTAACACATTAATTTTTTAATATAAATTATTTACGTATTTACTGTTTTTTTCATTGAGAAAGTACCTTTTCATTTTTTCGTGCAGAATCTTATGCAACGTCTTAGAACTTAGAACTTAAATGATGAAAATTTCTGCAGCAATAATTTAAAATTATCATTAGAAGGTTTACATATTATATTAATTTGTTCTAGGTGTAAAAGGTATATTATGGAAATTGTGTATGAATTTGCAAAAAAAAATGTTCTGTTTTATTTTTGCTTTTGCAAAAAATTGTTTTTTAAAATTATTTTTCAATCTAAAAAGCTTTCGATTTTAATTTTGTAACTTATATGCGCAACATAAATCAGATATGAGTTTGAATTTATTTTTCAAGATAATATGTCAATTTAAGTAAATAACCAAATTTTGAAATAAAAATTAATAACGGTTACAAAATTGTTAAAATATATAAACTGACTTCCGAGAAAGATTGAGAGACTTGAGATAACAGATCCCCCATACCTTTTGAGCCAGTTAGAATTTTTTATATCAAAATTTGATACTTCGTAAAAGTTGACTTGCTGTGTTGACCGGTTATCTTGAAATAAATGATGCTACGACTATTCTGTCTATTCTATGTACTCTATAAAGGATCGAGTTTTTTGTTAGTTAATGAAAGATTTTTACACTCAATTAACATTTTATGAGTTTTGCCTCATTTTTGTGTCGTTTCAATTTGCTAAACCACGCTTTTTGGAGTATTAAAAGCGAACGTGTATGGCCATTGCAGGCGAGAATAAAGAAAGAGACGAGAAGAGAAAAGAAACGTCAAGGGAGAAATGGGCGGACGCTGTCAGAATCGCAATGAGTCGCCCTTGCGTCGGTGTGACCAGCTCAAGAGGTAAGACCCGATCTTATCCCGGCTCTATGGGAACTCTTCCCCGGTGCCACTTTGAAATTCAATCTAGGCCGTCGCTAGGCCCCGTCGGTTGCGCGGCGCAAAGTTTCCGGCACACACCGGGCGAAACTTGGCAATCCGGCGCCAGTTTCGGCTTGCAAAGCGAGTCATATGCTAATTTGCAAACAGAGCGCTAGCTCGGCAATCCAATTCCAAGTACCTAAGTACGTACACGGACAAATCGAGCGCTGCGTGCAATTCCCTCGAGACGAGCAAAATGAATTTTTTAGGATTTTCTGCTTCGGTAGAGAGTCGCTCTCTCAGAATGCATGCTTAAATCAAATCTGAAGTAAATAAAAATCGCCTTGCAATTTTACGTCAAATAATTGCAGCATTTCAACCTAATCCACCTTGATCTATGTAAAAGAGATATGAAAATGATGGTCGTTTGTTTCAGACAAACTTACAATCTTTTTTTATACAAAATAATTCAATAATTTAGTTTATTTTACTTCTTTGCTCACATATTTTTAAATTATCCGAAATAAAGCTTTTAGGCAATTAAAATTGTTATTGATCATGCACTGAGCATGCACTTATCATTTATAATTCTTGAAAAAGAACTTTAAATCATAGTTTGGAAAATTAAGAGTTAATTCGTTTATTCAATTCTAATTAATTGTACCCTTTTGATTGGTTCTAATATAAGTGTTTTCAGTTTTCATACTTCTAAAAAAATATAATTTGGAATAATGTAAGCAATTTGGTGCTAGACTGATAGTTGTGTTGTTATGTTTACTTTTCCTTATTAAATTTTTATTTGTTTAATTCCGAATGAAGTTTTGCAATATTTCAAAAATTTCTGAAGTAATTTGTACAAAAATACGCAAAAATAGTTAAAAATCCAACTTCCATGAACGGAAATAATTGCTTTAAATTAATCCGCTACAAATTATAGTTAATCCAGGCCACAGCTGTTAAGAATCAAATCACCGTCATTTATTCTCGGAACAGGCAATTAGTCGGCCAATGCTGGTTATGCCAGCCCGTGTTACATAGAGGCCGAGCACGTTGCCTATGTGCTTGATTGTCAGTCATGTCAACGTCAACAAGGTCAGACGTTTTTTTCTGCCGACTTTCACTCACGGCCTTATTATTTAGTCGAAACTTGTTATCACAACCTATTTTCCATTTTCTATTAGGCGGGTTTAATTAAAAGCGGCAATCAATCAGTCGCGGGTCAAGTCTCAAGACACGCACTCAACTTCTCGCGTCAACCGGCGTTAATTAATGAAGCCGTACTTAGGCGCGCAACTTGGAGTGGCGGAAATTAAAATTTGCCACCACTTCGCGCGGCGGATTGATAAGGAAAATGCGTTTCTCAAGTTGTTGATCGAGCAATTTCGCGGCGGCGGAGGAGCAAAGTGGCGAGGGTGGTATATTCCAATTGAATGTAAATCCAGAATAAATATTAATTTAAGCCGCTGCCTCGCTCTTACCACAAAATTTTATACAGGAGAGGCACGAATTCATCCCCTTCAACCGGATCAATCAATATTACACCAGCCCCTTGTGCATCAATCACTTCGCCATAGAATGGGAATGAAAAAATCGGCTGAGTTTCAACTTTTAAGCTTCTTTTCCGAGCAGAAAAAAGACGGAGAGAGAAAGAAAGAGCGGAATTGACTTCTGATTTTTATCGTTGACTTTTTCAGGGCTAAATATTATCCGAGGAGCAGAAATAAAATTGAGGGCCAATTTGGCTGCATTGTTTGTTTTGAATATTATCCGCCTGAATGGATTTTTTGGAAATTTCCACTGTTTTATTCCTCTCTGTTTAGAATTTTCCGAGAGGAAAACAAACACTTTATACATTTTTCAACTTGGCGGGAGCAGAAATTAATTTCACGGCAGACGTGGAATTGAAATTAAAATTCCCACTGTGTTCCACGTGACGGGTCTTTGCATCGTCGTAATTCACAAAGAAAACATGCGGTGTGCAAAAAAGAGGCCGAAATTTATTTATGCACCGACGGGGCGAACGCGGGCAATTTGAATTTTAAAACGAGGGCAAACACGGTGGTGTTTGCGTCCGCTCCGGGCTCCACCCAAGCCTTGCGAGTTAATAATTTTAATACAGGAGAAGGCTCTAGGCCCGGCTGGCAAGACCGTCCCGCCAACAGCAAGCCTGGGCACTGTCTCTAGAGACCCGGCGGTGCTCCGTCATAATTTGCTCAAGCACCGTGGCAGATTTATTCGCTAGAGAAGCTAAGAAACGGCCCAAACTCGCCGTTAGTCTAGTCTGCAGAACTCTTTCTGAACTTACAACAAGAGGATTAACCAATATTAACTATTAGAATAATAAGATTTAAAATAAATTAATCAGAGAGATGCGGTTTGATTTCTTTTTTTCCTTTTTAAATAACTTCAGGTAGTGTTTTTGTTTTTCAAAAACCAAGCATTTAATAAAAGATTCCATATTTATAAAATAACTTTTCATCTTGTGACTTAAAAAATCTGAAATTATTAAAAAAAAGTGTATTATGAAAAAATATGAGATGAATTTTGTAATATAAATATTACAGGTTTATAGTTTCTTTTAAAAATTCAACAGAAAAAGAGTATACTTGGCTATAAAAGTAGGAATCAGAAGTCGATCGGCCTGAAATCGAATTTATTTTGACTGCGCGGCTCACAGACCAAATCACTAGCAGAGTTTTGTTGCGAGCGACGAGGCAGTAAAATTGTGAACGCATTTATGCGATAAGATTGGGCCGCTCTTATCACGGCGCGGTGATCCATCCATGCGAATCTCGCCGCCACCGCCGGTGCACAGACGATAATAATGAAGTCCTCCGGGAAATCAAAAGGCAGCAAGAAAGTCTCAGCAGCGATGCCCTCTGCGGACCGGCCCTTTTTCCGACTGTTTGTGCGCTGCGAGGGCGGTGGGCGGCGATCGGAGAAAAAGCTTAGAATATATAAACCTGCTGGGCCTCTGACTCTCTCATTTTAATAAGTGCTGCTTCGTCGAACTTGCCAGCCAGCTAATTAATTCCTCCTTCCGAGGCACGTACCTTAGCGAAGGACCCGCTTTTTTGCTGATTCCAAGAGAAGCAATTAGGAAACGCGGCGATGGGTCGAAATTGAATTTATACGGAAGGTCCGTGAGCTATGTCTGTGTTTTATTGATGGCATGGCATCTGCGACTTAAATAATCGTCTGATATAAAATTAATTAATTAAATATTAAGTTTTCGGGATAGATATAATTCAATTATATTATGTGACATTCAATTTTTACTTATGTTTTAATTTTTTTATTAATAGGATGTTAATATGTATATAAATAATAAATTAATATCAATTCTCTTATCTCTTCATCGCGGGGCAATAATTTTTTCTCTACATTTATGGACATAATATTATTAATAATTTTTTATTATCTTTTTGCATTGATTTTCTACTCAATCAAATGCATTAAATTTAATAATGGAATTAAATTGATTTTAATGCAATTGATATGTGCACGTTTTATTACGTGTGTCGTGTGTACTAATTGTAAATTGTTAAATGCCTCGGAAACCTGCGATGGTTTTATATAATAAGGCTTCGATCATCCTGCAGAGTTGCAGACTTGCACTCTGAATTTTAGGAGTATTAATTAATTAATTTTTTATTTTATTTCAAAAACCCGGTTCAGCAATCACAGCATTAATTTCGGTCATTAAGATTAAAATTGCTCGGATCAGTGAATTTAGTGATTATAAAACAATTTATGAACCAAAGAGGGGTGTAGAAAAAAAATTGCATTTTATGACGACCTATCATCCATATGTACCTATATTATGTTTAAATTGCCACGTTTTTCAGTGAGGGGGGCGTGGTCGTAATTGATTTTGTTTAATTTGTTTTCATTTTCGTTTTCACTCCAGCAAGGGTAGCACGCGTGGTTCAGTCAGAGACAAATTCGTGTTTTTCTCTGGTGATCAAGAACATTTGAGTGGAAATGGACGACTATGATTCGGACATGGATGAAGAGTAATTTCAGTTACTTATTTATTGCAAAACACTCTCCTTCATGGTTTTAAAACTTGCAGGCAAACTTAATTATTACATGCGTTATGTCACTTGTCATGCGCACTAATTAGATCGATCTCTCTTATGTTTACAATGTTTCTTAACAATTAGTAATTATTTTTCAATATTTACAGGATTAATAAAACAGTTTTTAATCAAATGTTTTTACAGACGCCCCGATGAAGAATCGGCTCTAGATTTTCAAAAAGATGTTTGCTGCAACACTTCGAGGCTGCTCTTCAACTCGTCACTGGTGAATTTGTGCATGAACGCGATTGCAAAAAATCAAAAGCACTTTGCATTTCGAGCAGACACAAAAGTTAGCCTTGCTCAATTGGGTAAGGAAAATTTTAATTTATTTCCAAACAAATATAATGGGGAATTTGGTTAAATTTTGAATAAAAATTATCAAATTAATGAAAAACTTTTATCACACAGACCTGCATCTGCGAAAGAAACTGATCAAGAAGATCATCGACTTCAAGTCTTACAGCCAAACCGATGAAGGTGATGAATATGATTTCGATGAAGATGATGAAGAAGAAACAGTGAAAAAGGATGCTACTTTTGAGTTGATTCGCCAACTTATGGACCATAAGATTACAGAATACTGCCTTGACTGGTTCAATGATGAGGATGACCTTTCCAACAAGGTATAAGTTAATTATTAAATATTAATAATGTTCATTAAAACCCAACCTTCCTGACTTTTTCTAGTTACTGCACACTCTGGTTGACAAATTTGGATTCACTACACAAAAATTAGTCCAAAAAGAAAGGGACATTACCAGTGGCATGGACAGAGACAAATCCTTCAACATGAAAGCCAACAAACTTGATTGTCTGCTTCACTTGCCCAACCTGCAGCACCTGGAGATTCACTGCAACCTTCTGAGCAATGAACAGCTTCAGCTGATTGGTCAAAAACTGTCCAACCTGGTCTTCCTTGGGGTCGACCTAATGGACCCTGACAAGGACAGCGTGTCCAGAGCCCTGGAACCGCTCAAGAAACTGGAGGTCTTCATCTTCCGAGTGTACAGCTTGACAAAATTTGGCGATTTGTCTGAACGAAACGCCTCCGCCCTTTGTGGTCACTGTCTCCTGAGGTTTCCTCAGCTCAAAGTCATTGGCTCCAAGGTTGACAATGAATCTGAGGAAGACCCCGAAGAAGAAAGCAAGTTCCTGCACCTGCTGGACGACTATAACCAGTTGCTGGCTGCTGGCCAGACTCGTCAGTTGCAGCACCTGATCATCTCAAAGCCTCTCACTCGACAGCAGGCAGCAAACCTGCCCAACCTGACACATCTCAAGGTGAGAATTTCCATTCTTGACGTGAATAATTTTTGTCATCTCAACTCTAATTACAGGTTTTAACCTCTGCAAATGACAATATTGACATGGAAGGCCTCTTGCACTTTGACAAATTGAAAGGTCTGTCCTTCGTGTCGCAGAATTACACAGACCAATGGCGCCCTCTGATGAAACTCATTCGGAAGTACGGCTCTGGCCTGGAGTACCTCTCCATCAGCTTCCTCGAGTCGAGGCTTGTCAACATCGACAAAATACTCTTTCTCTGCCCTAACGTGAAAACGATGCACCTCAACTTCAATGGTACTGGTGGTCCCTCTGTTCACCAACTTCACCAAAATGCCATGGCCAATTTGACTGCACTCAGTGTTGATTTCTTCAATATCAAGTAATAAGACTGCAAATTATATTATATATATTTTTTTTAATTTCCAACTTATTTGGAGGACTTAAAATATTACAAAGGTTTATTAGTGTTTTAATTAATAATTATGTTGCAGTTGGGCTCCAGGCGTGATGGCACAGTTCTTCACTGCCCCTAACCTGAAGCACCTGACCATGTGGTCTGTCTCAGCAGATGAAAACTCTTTGGGCTCCGTGATGGAGCATCTGAGGGGAAAGGTTGTTGCTCCAAAACTGGCCATATTATACGGCAGCTCCAGGCGCTGGAACGGCATCTACAAACTCAAAGAGGCATACTGGCGGCAATTCCTCCAGTTTTTGTGCCTTGAAGCTCCCGTCCTTGAGACGATCCACTTCTTTGCTGCCGTTCTTGATGACAACTTTTGCAAAATGATCAACTGCAGGGCCAGACTTGTTGAAGAGCCGCATTTTTCCTGGGAAAGGGTTCTGAATTCTGATTGATTAATTGATAGAGATATATAGTTATGCAGCATAACTAGAGAGATGGACGAGAAGAAAGAAAACTTGTGGAATCAGGGTTTTATCTTCAACTTGAAATTCTTGGAACTGCATTATGATCAGAACATTTGTTTAATATGAGCCATTTAATTTTACTTCAATAATTTGTGACTTTAGAAAATAAACATCTTTAACCATTCCAACAATACCGTCCTCTAAATTGTCTTGTTGTTTTGATTATTTTTTATAAAAAAAAGAGGTTTTGGGGGAAAACTTAATATTGTTTGATATGAAGGCACAACCACTTGAAAATTTTTTTGCTAAAACTTCCATCATCAAGATGACAACACATCCTCCGCAGTGAGCCTCTTAATTGGTTGAATGTGACGGTTGATTTAATTTTATTATTTTTGCCACTGGTGGGTTTGGGGGTGCAGAAAAATGACATCTAATATAATTAACAAACATCACAACAAATATTCCTTGAAGGGTCTGGAGCTTTATAATCAATTATTTAAATATATTTCCCGCCGATTGACCTTCCCATGGATGGTATATAAATTATTAAATTAAGGAATAAGGTGCAAAAAAGCGCTGCTGCAGTTATGTGTAAAATCTCGACAATTCTAATCGCGCCAAGGGCATCAACTTCTTTTTAATGGTAGACAACTTAACAAAAATATAACGCTGTAGTATATTTACAATTCGGATATACTTAAAATTGAAAAATGATTAAGTTTCTTATTAGATTAACCTTAAAAAATAATTTTCATTTCTTGAAACCTAAATATGTAATTTTAAATTTTCATGTGATAAGATTAAGATTCCAAAGCAAAATATTCTTGGTCTGGTATGCTTGTTTTCCCACGTGCCGGTGGCGATCAGCTTGTCGTGAATTGTTAATTTGACCTTGTTCTTGTATTCGTGTAATATTTTTGGGCATATTTATAAAATATTGCTCATTCCAACGTCGATTTTCTGGGTCGAAACAATCCCTCGAGACTTGTGGAAGCCCAAAAGTTCGGGCGGAAACAGTCCCATATCGACCAAAATCTCACATGATTCAGGTTTCTATGTACACGCATTTTGTTTATTAATAATACAGATTGCATCAAACAAATACTTCCGATTTTTTTCTGTTACAAAAGCGATTATTTGTTAATTTATTCCGTCTAATTTTCCAGCAAGGAAATATTTCTGGAAAACTGAATGGCTTTTGGGCGGCCTGCACTCCGTGCTCGACTTGCATCATCCATGTCGATTTTGGTAAGTTTATTAATTTTACTTGCCTTAAGTCAAAGAGGAATTTATTATTTTTTAGATTTTAAAGCCTGATCTTCAGATTACTGCTGGGCTGCTGTGGTCTTAAGTCTTAATGCATAAAAGCTACGATCTTTTTAAAAATATAGTTCAAAAGTCGCCCTTATCGTCCTTGCCCTCCGAACTGTTCTCCTCACATCCTGAACTTCCAAAACCTCGCTCGCGGCTTTACAAAAAAAATTTATCTTCAACGCTGCCCAACTCTGAGCGTAAATCTGAAATTGGCAAAGTTACGAAACACTTCGTACGTACCAAAACATTACCAATATATTTTTAATTACAATAAAAGAATTTTAATTACTATACACAAATTTAACAAATAATTTGCAAAGTTTTTTCTTTGGAATTAATTATTAGTAAATTTAAACAATTTCAAATAATTTTGCTTGGTCTATAATTCCAAAATGGTTTTCTTTCCATTAAATTTCTTTCACCTCTGCTCTGGTGAAAAAATACTGCATGCGTTTTTAAATTTGGTCGCACTACTGCGAAGCTGCTAGGGCAAATTGCCTCCTACGGCCAAACACGATAAAAAAAACCACCTGCAGTACTCTTGGCAGCAGTCGACTCTTTATCCATACCTTTATGACAGTCTGTAATTGCCCACGGTGATGTCTGTCCTCCCTCTCGTAATCTTTTAGTAAGAGGATGAAATTAATCCCGCGAGAGAGGGCAAAAAAACTCGGCCGACAGGGCACCTGGGGGGAAATCATCTCGTCCGCAGCCACTTAACGCAAGAATCGGCGCCGATGGATATCATATCGGACCGTTATAATTCCGCCGCCAGAATTCCCCTGACCATTTCTATTCATTATCCCTCCTTGGGGTCCATTAGTCAATTTGACGCGCGACGGACCAGAATAAATTCAGTGCAAAACAAAGTCTCCCGCGAGTTTCACACACCAGGAAATGCTTTTATCCGCAAGAGCTTCTTTGCGCAACGCACATCATGAGTCGCTTATTTATAGCGTTCGTTAATTCGAAAAGCGATGCGTCTCGCCCTGGGATGTCATGTGACATCAATCGTACCAGAGAGGTTGACTGGGGAATTAATATTTCGTTACTGATTCCCGGAATGAAGCAGTCGACTTGTGTTTCCTGAATTTTAATTACCCGTTAAGTAATTATTATTTATTATGCGCTAAATTTTATGAAATTCAGAATTTTTTGAAATAAATGTTATATTTAAAAATATTATAAGCCTGCAAAGTATTATTTTTAATTATTGTTATTAATTTTGCTTTGTGTATTAAGCTCTGAATAAATTAACTGCATATTTATAAAGGGAATTTAGGATCTAATAATAATTGATAATTGAACGCTTTTATGAAAACACAACAAAGTAAATTGGAATATTGCATCAGACCATGTTCCACAGCGAGTCCTTTGAAGATTATAAACTCTATATAATTAAAGCTTTGTAGGATTGCGTTGATTTGATGTTTGCATTAAAAGTCTGCTTTTGTTGGTGTTTATTTTTTCATTGTATATAGAAAAACAACTTTAAACCGTAAATTCCCTTCTGAGCAAAAAATTTGACAAACAGTTCAAACATCTCTTCTTGAATTCTTGAGCAAGAACTTTAACTCTTTATAGACAATGAAATTTTAGAACCAGGTTTGCTTCTGTATGACATTTCAGCATATTTGTCACGCGCGCGCCACCGAAATGCGGCACACGTTTAGAAAAACAGTCAAGTTGTTGCTGATGTTTTATTGACGGAACGGCGACGGCGGCCATTGCACAGCAAAAACATACACGGGCCGATAAACATCGCACTCTGAATCTAAATTGGGCAACTAGAAAAAAAGGGCTAGTTAAAAATTTTATGGCATTCGTACGCGCCGCGCAACGTCCATTTCCCCTTCGTGACCGTATAAATTACGTGGTGCATTATTTTTGAGAAATATTTTAATTTTATCCCTCAGCACATCGAATTACACACCAATGTGCGCACGCTTTCTCTTTTTTCTCAATTCTTTTCAGTTTTTATTTAGAAACTCGCCGCGGTCTCATTGCTTTAATTGGCCTTCGGTGTAAAAATTGTGAAAGGGTTTCAAGAGGTGGACTTTTTATAATAAACATTTTCGTGAACGCCGTTCATTTTTCAACTTTAGCATTATTCTCGGTCGATGAATAATTTCTGATGACAAAGATGAATTATTATTCTTTATTGCTCGCTAAGTAGAGGCCGAGAGGAAAATTGAGTGCTTTTTCTTGAAAAAAGTGGTGGCTGAAATTTTTTAAATGTGACTTATTGATAAGAACTGGTTTGAATAATAAATCGATCCGACGGTCAAGGTTTAATTCTTCTAAACTCACCAAGTAGCAAAAGCAATAGTTTGAGTCAAGGCAATCTCACCAGTCGAATTTTCCTTACCTGAAACAATGCATAAATTTTCATTTAGATTAACTTTGAAATCATAAACAAAGGTTAAAAATTATATCCGTCAAATAAAACATTTTTGGTTTAAAAATAGGAAGAAGGTAATTAAATCATGATAAAATTATTTTGAGGGTCGAGAATTGAAATTTCTAACGATGACTTAAGTGGAAATTTTACAAATAGTTTATATAAAATCGTCGCGCTTTATTATTATTACACGATATTTTTTAGAGCAAATTACGATTTATATCCTCGATGAAATTAAAAAGTGAATTTCTTTAGAATATTTCTTAAATAATTATACGATTTATAAGTTAAATCGTCAAAAGATTAAAAATTTGAAAGCCTTGCAAGTAAGAAAATTCAGACGAAAGTGTGGCGATGAAACTTTTTGGCCTCAAAAGAAAATATTGTCAACCGGTTAATTACCCCTCCGCTTTTTTTTCGTCAAGTTTCGCGTCCAGCAAAATAACGCCAGCAGCCCCTGGCGCATTTCATCGCACAAAGTGTGGAGTGAATAATTAGATTCAGCCGGAGCAAGCGACCTGCTGCTGTGCCGGGAACAAAAAAAAAATGTTGCCATTACAGACAGCCTTCGGTGGCATTACTTGGCGGGTTTTGTGTCAGGGCGGTACAGCGACACTGTCACCCAGACAAGCGGGCTCGCTTATTCATATTTTTTTTTGGAAAGACCGAAAGTCGGGCTCGCTCCAGTGTATTATTATAATGAAAACATTTTTCTTGAATAACGCGCCGCGACAGGCCGAATGACGAAAATTTCCATAACTTATGTGCGTGCCAGCGAACGTGCACACATACTTTTATTGTTATCATTCGCGCGCTTTATTTTTCATCCCTCGGCGCCGCCACCATGAATAATATGATATTTCACTTTGTGCAAAATGTAATGGTTAGAGTGAGATACACAGCGCGACTCTCTCTCTCTTGCTCGGCAAGGCCTTTTTGTGCGGCGGCGGAAAATCCACCCCCCGCTTTCGTTTTGTCGAAATTCGCATTGTACAAAATGCGGGAGTTGGAATAAAAAAATGAACAATGTCGCTCCCAAGCTTGGAAATAATATGTCGCCGTACGCGTGTGGAAAGTAACATATTTTCAGTCAGACCAGATAGGGTGCGAAAGGCAGGCACGGTTGACTTGGCCTTTCAGAATAATTTCATAATCCCGTGAGGGCGAATGAATTTGAATGCAAAAGCCAATTGAGGGAATTTGACCAAAATGATTTAACCGCCGATGAAAGGATAATTAATTAAATACCTTTAAATTTTGACTATTTTGAGATCGATAAATTTATAATATTCACCAGACAAGCGTCAATAATAATTGTGATAATTGTATTATTATTTGAATATAGCAATATCCAGCATAATTATATATTAATGAAAGGTTTTTTAATTATTGTTAATCTTTTTATTTTGTTACAGTTCATCATCTTTCTTAAAGAATCAAGCATCAAAGCCTTACTTTTTT